GATGGAAAAGCCTTTTTGAATTCAAAATCAATGACAAAAGAGTTATCCCTGTCGTGAATTTTGTAAGTGAAAAATTATCTCATTGTTCTGTTTGGACGTTTGTTGTTGCTCAAAGAAGTAACACCTATATGAGGGATGTCAACTCTATAACCATCGTCGCCATATGGAAATAGTAGAGGATATTATAGAGCAAGGTAAGAAAGATGTAATTTACTGATACGACGTAGAGCTCCAAACGAAGTTTGTACAACGATGTCTTTGTTATCAATAAAATCACCAATATCTTCTACAGTTAAAGTTGCGACCTCATAGCAGTCGGTAGGTTGTATGTCCTTCCATCTTGTTGTCTTTTTCCTACAATTCATAACTTTAGGTCAACAAGAGGATCCGCATTAAAAACATCTCTAGCCATCCTATAACACTTAACCAACTCATTATTTGAATCCAACATAAGTTTCCAATCTTTTATAATTTGAAGATCAATTGAATCATTAGTCGATGTAGAGGCATGTTTTGCTCCGCTACAAATAAAATTATTTAAAGATACACATGATTAATATAAAATTAATATTGTTAAAGTGATAATAGAAAGTAATAGTAAAAGTGAATATAAACCTGAAACATTTATGTCTATTTGAGGTTTCATTTTCGGTATCGTATATGTAAAACTAAGAAAATATTGGTTGACATCCATTTGAAGGTAGAAGGCTTCCAATAATATAATAATTTTGACCGCTAAGCCTGAATATGTATGGTGTGTTTCCTTTATGAATGGATGAATAAACTTTCCCACCCATCGACGTAAATGAAAACATTGAATTGTAACGACAAATGTTTTTCATGAAGTATTTACTTTTAGTTTTTTTAAAGCATGTAGTTCTACCTTCCCATAACCACAACAAAGTGAACAAATTTTAGTGTTTGTTCTATTGCCTATTAAAGATTCGTCTTTCTCTAATTTAGCAAGACATAGTTCACAAGCAACATTCTGTCACCATGATCTAAATAAGCTGTTAAATAAAACAATATAAAATTTGTAAGTATACAAAAAATCTAATAATTGTAAACTTAAAATCTCAAAAGTGTTGTTTATGATAATTACCTTTTGATATACCCGCATGTGCTAGTTAGATAATATCTTGACCATTCATATCATCTGTCCTTAGGTCAAATATAGATATATGAGATATATGTGCAGACTTTCTTTTTAACTTTTTCACTCCTGAAGATCGTCTGTTATTTGATAAGGGTGTTGGACCATTATGATGATTGCTACAAATAGCTGGAAAAAAAATATAAGTTGTTATTCATCTAGTTATTGTAATGTAAAATAATATTGTATGTATAAGAAAAAATTATGCATACCATTTGAGATATTGGAAAGTGGACTCCTAGAATTGATATTTGAAGGTGATCAGAAGGTTGTAGAATGATATTGAAGAATCTCATCAGAATTGACATTTTCCTTTTAAGAAGAAATATATGTGAACTTATTTGAAAAGTTTAAATATCGACGATGATTGAAGACATCATCCACATATAATTATAAATTTAGTTAATAACAAAATTCATTAATAATAAAGAAAATTAAACACAGTTGAATTATTTAATAAAACATATAGTAAGAATAAAAAAAAAACTAAAGCACACGAAATAATTATTGTTTCGGCTTGTGTTAACAGTTGGTGTTGCAAATGAAGTTTAACTGTTTTATATGGTAGATTTATTTTTGGATTTTCTATTATCCGAATATAATTTTCTTAATTTTCGTCGCTCTTTAGCTGAAGTAGAATCTATTTTATTTTCAGAATCTATAAAAGAAAAAAAGTTTAATTAAAATATAATCTACAATTCATAAGTTCAAAAATAAGTCATATATTTTAAATATTAATTTAAATGTTGATTAACAAATATAAAATATGATGCATAAAATAAAAGCATATTAAACAATAACTACATGTAAGTTAAAAGCATATAACTTATCCTTCTCTTTATGACAATTAGCTTTTGATGTACGTGCATGCATGGGTTGAATAATATGTTTGACCATTAATATGATAATCTTTTGTTAGGTCGAATATACGTATGAGTGATATATGTGCAAACTTTCTTTTTAAATTGTGCACTCTTGAAGAAAATTGGTTGGACGAATAATTGTGAGTGACTGTCGATGAATTGTTGATTTCATCGCATTAGAAAATACATAATATTATCTTTTATTTGATAAGGACGTTCGACCATTATGATTTTATTGGTATAAATATCTGAAAAAATATAACGTGTTATTAATGTAGTTATTGTAATGTAGAAGAATATTGTATGAATGATAATAAAAATAAATTATGCATACCATATGATATATTCGATAGGGAGTCATAGAATTGACGTTTGAATGAGATTGGAAGGTTGAACAATGATATTGATGAAGTTTATCAAAGTCGGTGTTTTCCCTTTGAGAAGAAATATATGTGAATTTATTTGAAGAGTTTAAATGTTGATGATAATTGAAGACATCAACTACACATAATTATAAATTTCATTAATAACAAAAAATATTAATAATAAAGAAAATTATACAGATTTGAAATATTTTATAATATGTACTAAATAATATAGTAATGATAAAACAAATATTAATGTACGAAATAATTGCCGTTCTGGCTAGTGTTAAAAGGTTGTGTGGTAGATGAAGTGTTAAAAGGTTGTGTGGTAGATGAAGTACGACCATTTGATATGACAAATATATTGTTAGATCTTTTATTATCCAAATATAATTTCCTTAATTTTTTGTTGCTCTTTAACTGAAGTATAATCCATGTGATTGTCTATCATCTCTAAAAAATAAAATGAGTAAAATTATAATTTAATCTACAATTTGTACGTTAAAAATAAACTATATATAGTTTTAAATATTAATTTAAATGTTATTAAATAAATATAAAATATGATGAATAGAATAAAAGTATATTAAACAATAAATACATATAGGTTAATTATATTAGTTGTACTTCTATTTAATAATAACAACAATAATTGATTAATAATGAGAGCATTCATGAAAACGTAATTCAAACTAGGAAAATGTCTATACGTTGTACGGGCCATTTTTTTTGAAAAAAAGTAAAGGGCATTAATGCTAATTTAGACTGAGCAGTTGTATTGCATTAAACATAGATGAAAGTTGTTGACATAGAAGTAGATATTAACATGTTTAGACAAACATATCTATGTAGGGTAATATAGATAAACAATTGCTTCTAGAACAAAAAGGGACGATGAACTTCTTCGTTTCATTTGGTTTTTGGTTATATGTTTCCGGCCTCCATAATTTGGACCATGTCTTGGAGCATAGTGATGGTTGTCTCCGTAAATTGAGATGGAGTGATCTAAGCTTTCCTTCATGAGGTGGTCGGAAGAAGTGCATGAGATCAGTGTTCTTAAGGTGAAGGATTTTAAAGTTGACTTGGGGTCGTTGTTAAGGTTGTTGATTGTTTGTAGTCGGGCGTGAAGGTCGTCTGTCAGGTTGGTGTGGGTTATTTTCCATAGGTCACTGTTTTTGTAAACATACCAGGTATGAGTTTGGTTTCATGTCTTTTTACACTACTGCGCTCAACAACCTTTGTTGATGAATTGAATTGTGGAGGTAGTGGACCATGGTCAACACGAGACGCAACATCATTCCATTTTCGTTGACTGGACAACTTCACCTTAATCGAAATGGATGATTCCATCCTTGGACTACTCACGGATTGCACCCCACTTTGCTTCAAGATTGTTAACCCCAATTCGATAATAGCAATAAAGACCAGAACAAAAGTAATGTATGAGAGTATTGAGTTATTTATTTATAGAAATAGTCCCGGTGTAGAAAAAGATCTCAAAATTGGTCCTTATGACAGAAAAACAAAAAGATTATCAACTTGCTCTACATAGTATAAAAACATTACAAAAATGGTCTATGCTGCTTACATAATTGGTCCTTATATAGAAAAAACATTACAGAATCAGAATTATAGTTTACTTATTTTACAATTAAGGCATTGTACTTAAAAAGGTTTATAAAAGTGGGACAAAATAGTAGGTTGTTAAAAAAAATTCAAAAACTAAAATTGCAGAGTAGTCCTTGCAAAATTGAACTAAACAGTGAGGGGAAATTATAATAAAACCCCTAGAAATATTCATAAACGTTGTTACTCACGGATAAGTTCAATAGAATTGTAATTATATATGTTTTTATCGGTTAATTTAAGACCTTCTATGTTATACTTCTTTATAAAATGATGTTTTTACAGAATCTAATACTAATATCCATAAAGCTGAATTCAGAGTAAAGGTATTAACAAAAATCTACGTTGCATCCATCGTTTCCATACCTGAGTCTAATATCTATTGAGTTATAATATTGATTTTCTAGAGAACGCCGAATTGCCACTATTTTTCTTTGAAGGAGCCACTGTTGTAATAACTGTCATGATACAAATATTTTTATCAAATAATTATTAAAAGAAATGTATATTAATAAATAAATAAAATACAAAAAATTAATATGGAACACCTTCAATTTCTATATCATTTGTCTCTGGAGTTGTCAATGATTAAGTCATCCCTGGGGGAGAAAATTCTGTATTTCCAAATTTTATTAGTAACAACAAATGATTAAAAATATGTTATATTTAAGAAAAATACCTTTCATTTGCGTAGCAAAGGCAACATCAAAATCGTGTCACTAAAAAACGCATACCTCCACCTAAATTCATCTCCAACCTAAACACGAAAATAAATAAATAGAAGTCATTAGTTTCACCCGTTTACAATTATATTTACACTTTTTTACTATAATTAAAATTAGGTAATATATATATATATATATATATATATATATATATATATATATATATATATATGGAAAAGTGAATATACCCTTAAGCGTATATAGCTTAGGTACTAAAAGATAAAAAGCTACGTCGTTTTTTCTTTTTCATTACCGATTCCTTTTAAAAGAAAAAATGCAATTTTCTTAAAAGATCAACTTCCTGCTCCTGCTTGACTGCTTCGTGCTTCGCTTACTTCAATTCTGCTGATTTCCTATCTACTAACCCTTATACGATTGCTTCTGGTTCGTAATTGAAAGGTAAGGGTTGCTTCTGGTTCGTAATTGAAATTATTTACGATTGCTTCCACTCCCAATCCCACAGCCCAAAGCGAAATATCTTCTCTCATCAAACCCAATTCCACCAACGTTTGTTTCCCCACACGTCTTGTAAAGCAATTCCATTCATAAAACATATAACTAAAATCCGACGTCGTTTCCAAGTTAATCTGTCAATCTGTCCTTTTTTCTTCCTCGTGCTCGCATCTATCAACTGAGCCACCAAATCATCGTTATCATATCGACCCAATGGGGTTTATCGTAAGGGAAGGATCTTAATTTCAGATCGAGCTCACTTATTGTTCGATTATCATCAAGAAATAGATGGACTTCGAGAAGCTGAGCTTGGTAAATCGTTCATTGGCACTAGCAAGAGAGGAATTGGGCCATGTTACTCCAGCAAGGTCATCCGAAATGGCATAAGAGTATGCGATTTGAAGCATATGGACACCTTTCCTGATAAGCTTGATGTTTCGTTCCAATGGTTTGTCATCCACTTGAATTCACGCCTATGGATTATCCTACCAGGTTTGTGAATTACACTCTTAATCCGAAATAAATAAATGTCATATTATTTTCTTCTTTCCCTTGTACACTATGTATATAGCGACTTAAGCTTGATGAGGAATGTGGAATCAACATCACTACCGAAAATTGTAGGCTAAACTACTAACCCACCAGGTGTTCGATTAAATGCATCAGTGATAAGAGCCCCAATTTTTTTAACTTTGGATTGGCAAAAATTCTTGCAAGTGAGAAAGGGGAAACGAAAAACCGAGTAATTAGAATACAGTATGTATATGCGTGTAAAGATTTCTATCCAACTCTTTTTTTGAAAAAAAAACACAACTTTATGTGTATTGAATATAAACTACTTTCTTATGTGTACACAGGCAGTGGTTATATGTCTCCAAAATACATAATGAATGGGCATTTTTCTACCAAGTTTGATGTTTACAACTTTGGTCTTTTGGCTTTGGAGATAATAAATGGGAAAAAAATTGGGGATTTCAACATCCTGATCATAACTTGAGCCTACTAAGTCATGTAAGTTTGATGTTTACAACTTTGGTCTTTTGGCTTTGGCTTATGGACTGAAAGAAGTTCCTTGAAACTGATGAAACATGTATTAGACTATTTATGTGATTTGTTGTTGCTGTTGTATTTTTGCTTCTTTTTGTCTTCACAGCTACATGAGCCTCAACATGTTTTGAATTCCCATTGTTTATTGCAAAGATTAGAAGGGTATTTATGTCTTTTGCACAGAAATGGCTATTCACTAGCACAAAGTTTACTAAAAACATCATACCTTTAATTGTGGGACCCGAAATTCGTATGCAATGCTGCCCTCTTTATTCACAACTGTCTAGATTCTGGGATAGTTTTTCTGTTGTTAAGTAGAACAAGTTAAAAAATAAATGATTAAAAGTGATAGAAATCATTTAAGCCCTGATGTCAAGGGGACAAAAAATGTATCTATTTCCATTTCTGTTTGACAAATTATAAATGCAAAGTTATTCTCATGTGCAGGTTATTACCATTGCAAAGATCTTGGGTTGCACGGAGACACCAAAGAAGCTGAAGATTGTATTAGATGATGTAATCATGTATTAGTTAGGACATAATTTGTAAAGGTTTTTTTGACGAATTGTATATGTTGACAGAAATTGTATAGAAAAGTATTGTTTTTGTTGGATTGAGCTGAAATTGCAACCCACTTTTCTTATTTATTCGAAATAGCAATGTACTTATAAATACTTTCGTTTTTAACCCACAATAATATCATATTTTTGTTTTTAATCCATAATAGCATCATAATTTTGTTTTTCACCCTCAATAGCATCATAATTTTGTTTTCCACCCACAATAGCATCATAATTTTGTTTTTAACCGACAATAGCATCATAATTTCGTTTTTAACCCACAATTGCATCATATTCTCGTTTTTCACCCACAATAGCATCATATTTTCATTTTTCACCCACAACGGCAACCTAATTTCAGTTTTGACTCGTATTTTCAATTTTGACCCATTATTATCACATACTTATAGTTTTTAATCCAAAATGACATCCTACTTTCATTTTGAAACACATAAGAACAACCAACATGCAATTTTAAACACAAAAATCATAAATAATCAACAAATTTTCATTTAAAAACTATAAAAAAATGTTAAGAAACATAAAACATTTCTAGATTTTTCATATATTGTTAACCAAAAAAAATGTCAAAAATGCCAAGAAGCATATCGAATTTTCCTTTGCTCACAAAAACAACACAACTCATCATTATGTCTCTTCCAACGATTCATCTGCCTGATACATTTAAAAAAATATTGTTAATATAATTATTAGAGTTCTAAATCATTAAAATTAAATTAAATTAATATTAAAACTACCTTTCTTTTGGAACAACTAGTAGCGTAATGACCCAATCCTTGACAGTAAGAGCATGTACGTTTTTTGGGGGCTTCTAAAGAAGACCTAATTCTACTAGCAATTTTAGGACGCCCTTTTGTGGTAGTTGGACCAAGAGGATCACGGACATATAACTGTGGCATCATATCTATTTGCGAAACTCCCATACAAGAACCTTGAGATGCATTCTCCAAAGACATAGATTTCTTTCGATTTGTTTGATCATCCAAAAGACTTATCAATAGCGTATTGACTTTTTGTATCTCTGAAGGGGAGTCTCTAGCTTGTTCAATTAGTTTAGTAAAATTTGAACGAACACACCATAGTGTGTAAGCACTAACTCCATTTTCATTATTCATTTCTCCGAGTCCGATACTAGCACTACCCAGTTTGTACCTAACATTAAGGGTCCATCGTGGTAAAATATAGTGACTCGGGAGTTCTTTAACATACTTCTTCTTCATCACATATAGGCTATTTTTACATAAAATCCCATTTGTCTCATACTTAGCACATGAACATGTGACGCTGACTTGATCCAAAGAACGAAAGGTAACAATGCGCCAATATTTTTTATCAACATCCAATTGCCCAACTCGGTATGTGCTTTCTTCGGTAGTTTTTCCTATAGTCTCATGAGTCAAATTGGTAATAGCTTCGGTCCATTCTTTTTTGAAAGTATCAAACATCTTTCTAGTATAACATTGACCTGCTTTTGCTTCGATTGGATGCACTGAAGAAAGAACCGACCTCGAGTTCATAGTCTTGAAGTCTTCATCTTCTTCGGCGGCCCTTCGAGACTCAACTGCTTTGTCGTATTGTACAACAAATTCATTCAACATGGTCCTCGAATTAACAAATCCATCAAAAAATGAATTGACACTCTCACTTCGTCTGGTTGTTGTCATACCAGCAAAGAAAGTATCCTTCACGAAGGGTTTAGCCCAATGTATACGTTGGTTATACATGTCACTAATCCAACAATTACTTACCAGTTCATACTTATTACGCATAACCTCCCATCTTGCTTCAAATTGGTCAATGGTGTCACTATTTACCCATTGTTTGTGCGTTTCTTGAAAATCACTATAACGGGAAACATACGATCGAAGGTGCTCAGTTTCATGCTTCATGATATGCCATGAACAAAAACGATGTCGAGTATTCGGAAACACTTTTTTTATTGCATTTCCCATTGCTTTGTCTTGATCTGTTATAATTGCCTTCGGATACTTATTAAACATACATTTAAGGAAATGTTCAAATAACCATTCAAATGTCTCTTCCTTTTCATTTTCAAGCAATGCTCCACCAAAAAGTATAGACTGCCCATGATGATTCACCCCAGTAAAGGGATGATTCACCCCAGTAAAGGGAGCAAAAGGCATCTTGAACTTGTTAGTCATATAAGTGAGATCAAACACAACATCTCTGAATTTTGTATAAGCATCTCTTGATCTACCATCAGCCCAAAAGATATTTCTAGGATACCCATCATCAGACAAATCCACTACAAAATACTGGTCACTATCAACGAATGTTTTATCTTGAAAATGTTTTATAAGTCCATAGAACTCCTTTCCTTTATGTTGCTTTCGTTGCTCAGATAAGACATCGGCACATTGCTTTGATGTAACATCAGCTACATTTGAGGTTTTCATTTTATTAACAACATTTTTAATCTGAGAAGGTTTCAACCCTGCTTGACCAAATTGCACCATAAGAGATTTACCTTCTATTGAACGGTGGAAACTGTTATGAGATCGATGCTTCATAACCTTCGTAGGTGTCATGGTCAAGTCGTGATTATGTGTGTCATTAAACGAGTCCACCAACCATTTCCCATCCTCTTGTCTTGTTATTCGAAGCTTTGCTTGACATCCAGTTCTAACATCTCTACGACGTTTTTTTTCTCATTTTCACTTGAAGCATTTTTGTCCATCCTTTTGAAACCTTCTTTTTTGCATACATATATCTTCCGAAAAGGCTCATTTGTTTTAGGATTTTTAATTGTCTCATCTCTACGTATACCAAAGCCATGTAAAAATGAATAATCATTATAAAATGTATAAGCATCATCAGGTGTATCAAAAACCTTTCCAAGTATACTTTCATTGTTAACTTCATCTTCGTCAAATTCAATGTTCTCACCGATACTATTTATTTTTTCACATTCATATGTTGCTTCCACGTAATCATTTGTGTCACTATCTTCGGTTATATATGGTTCTATAGCTTGATTAGTTGCTTCGGCTTCAGTCATTGTGGTCTGCAATAGACAACGATGCATATTACCAAATAAAAGATTAACACCAAATTTTTTTATATTGAATATAATGGAAACATTATACATAAAAAAACACAATAACAACCAATTGCAATTTGTATGAATTCTTGTCAATTGCAATTTGTATAAATTCATGTGAATTACAATTTGTATGATTTACCTTAATTGGCTTCCATGGAATCGGAGCAGAAAAAAATCATTCGTTAAAATACATTACAACTCGGAACAGAAAAAGATCATTCGTTAAAATACATTACAACCGATGACTTCATATTCAATTTGTTTGTTGCTTTTTATTATCAATTTTTCATTGTTTGCAATAAGTTGGATCAAATTCATCCAAGTTAACCCAAAACAAAGACTTTAGAAGGCACCATGAAGTTAGCTCTTTAGAATAATGAATTGCCTAAACCAGCTATAACCAATCAAACTGTTTTTATTAATGAAGTATATGTCTTCAGAAAGAAAGAAAAAAAAAAGACGCTGCATTAAAGACCGCACACAGAACCAAAAAATTGAAATTAAGGGCTACAAATAACTTTGTAAACTTAATATGTGTATGAATTGCAAACGATTCCAAATAATAATAAAAAGATACAAACCTTGAAAAATCACAATTAGTAGATATAAAAAACAGACGTTTAAAATTGAAATTAAGGGCTACAAATAACTTTGTAAACTTAATATGTGTATGAATTGCAAACGATTCCAAATAATAATAAAAAGATACAAACCTTGAAAAATCACAATTAGTAGATATAAAAAACAGACGTTTGTATGTTACCTGAAAAAGACGGTCGTATGAATGAAAAAAACAGGGAAGTAAGATTATGATTTCAATTCCTTGTGAATTGCAATTTTCTTTTTATTTCAATTCGTTGTGAATTGCAATTTTTTTTGAACTCCCTGAATTGCGATTCCAGATTCTATCATTCGTTTTAAGTTGATTCCGATTTCTTGATGATGGAACGATTGGAATGTGATCACGATTAAGGAAACTACGTACTTTTTTTTAAGGATTTATTTTATTTAGCAAATTAACCCACTAATCAAAACTACGTAGTTTTAAATAATGGGTACCTAATCTTATATACCCTTAAGGGTATATTCACTTTTCCCATATATATATATATATATATATATATATATATTATATATATATATATATATATATATATATACCCATCCACCATAAACATAACCTAGGGCAACTCCTGTTGGTATGCACACGTAAAAGATTCCCAACCAAGCTGTTCTCTGTAAAAAAATATGTTATTTGAATACAAGGGTATTTCGTCATATGTACAAATAATGGGTGATCAGTCAAAAAAAGATGGAACGTGAGTTACGGGGGTATTGTCGTCAATAAACGGAGTTGTAAGAGTAATGAAAGAAGTCTCAACAACACCGACTAACCTGAAAAGGTGGTAGGATGATTTAATTTAATGAGTAAGAAAAACTATGAAGTCAAATTTGTGTTTAAAAAATGAAATAGTCAACTCACATTCTGCAGATTGTCATTGACCAAAAGTCAATTGAAATCCAACAACCAAATGCTGCAAAAATCAAAACAGATAATCCTGATAACATTGTCATATGATCATGATAAAGAGAAATTACAAGGGTTCTCAAAGAAAAGCATAAAAAACTACAAAGGGCAAAGCAGATATAAATACTAGTTAGACAGAAACCCTAATGGGCTAAAGACAAAAGGGCCCATAAACAAGCGGGCTAATAATATATAGACTAACATCCCCCCTCAAACTCACAATGCCGCATCAATTAGCATTGAGAGTTTGTCACATAAGAATCGAAACCGAGAAGCCGATAAAGCCTTCGTAAAAATATCCGCAAGCTGCAAGGTTGATGAAACAAATGGAAGCGAAATGGTCCCAAGCTGTAGGTGATGACGGGTAAAATGACAATCAATCTCAATGTGCTTCGTCAGCTCATGAAAAACAGAATTCTTCGCAATTTGTATCACACTTTTATTATCACAATGCAAGGGAGTAGGTGAAGAAATGTAAACTCCCATATCCGCAAGCAGCCACCGTAACTAGATA